GAAACAATTCCAACTTCGTGAAGATCAGCAGAATCCTAATGGATATTTTATATCAGAGAGCCAGTTTGGCACCAGGTAAAAACAAAACAAAACACTGGGAGACAGGGAGTTCTAGTCCCGCCTAAGGCACGAAGCTAGCAGGGTGACCTTGGCCCAGTCCTTCTCTCTCAGCCCTAGGAGGGAGAAACCAAATCACTTTTAAATAAAATAAATAAATAGAAAAAAAAACCTTGGCACTGGAACTGCTGCTACCAAATCGCAGCAACCGCCAACAATAAAACACTTGAGTTGAAGGCAGTACAAAAAGAAAATAAATGGGTTTTGTTTGTTTTTTAATGGATATTTTACACATACACGCACACAAAACACCTTACAGTGCTTTTTTAAAAAAAAAAATGCATTCCGCTGAGTAACCGCGTCCATCATTGCTGGAACTACTTCACTTTAAGGAAAGCGAAAGCGATGCTCCCCTATTTATTTTTTTAAAGTCCAGAATAAATAGAAGGTGACGATTCCCCCTAATCCTAGTGGGGATTCTTGCTTAATTGCTGGGAGTTTCTAGTCCTGGTGGTTCTCTATTTATCAAAGTTCGGTGGGAGGCGGCGGCGAAGGAAGGACGCCGAATAAAGGCCTCGCCGTGGGAATTCTTCCCATGGATGGGACCGAGCCCTTACCTTATTATTATTATTATTTTTTTAGAGACCCTTTCTTAGGTTATTTCCCATCTTCGGGTAGATGCGAGGGGCTTAATTCTCGGAGGATCCCCCCGAAGAGGTGAGCATCTTCCCGCAAACTCGAGGCTGCCTTCTGCAAAATTTTTAGGTTGGTTGCGGGGAGGCATTTCTCTCACTCACCCCACCCGTCCTTCCAGCTGTTTAAATTGAAATATTAACACTACCTGAGCACGAGGACAGATCTGGGGGCTCCGCCATGCCCCCTCCCCCAAATTAACCACGCTTAAACCTCGGTTGGAGTAATGAGGGGAGGCGAGGCGCGGGCGGGGGGGGGGGATCTGCGAAACCAGCCGAAAGGCAATTTCAGTTTCGCGAAGCAAAGGGGTAAATCTTACCTTCCTCCCTCCGCCTTACATATATGGGGTATATATACCCTCCTTTCTCTCCCCATTCTCACCTCCCGGCTCGATCCGACATCGTCGTCGTCCTCCTCTTCCTTTTGGGTTGCTGGGCTTCATTGCCCGGCTTAGTTCTCGTTTTTGCTCCCTCCCTCCTTCCCTCCTTTCAATTTTCTTTTCCTTTTCTTCTATTTGTTGCGCCCCACCATTTCTTTAGGCTGGTCTTTCTTTCTTTCTTTCTTTCTTTCTTTCTTTCTTTCTTTCTTTCTTTCTTTCTTTCTTTCTTNCTGTCTGACGATTAGATAGATAGATAGATAGATAGAGAGAGAGAGAGAGAGAGAGAGAGAGAGAGTATATATATGCATATGCATATTGCACTCTATTCTACTCTCTATATTTTCCCTACCTCCTAGTTCAGCCCTATTGTCCTGAGCTCGATGCAGGCCAAAAGAGAATGTACTGTATCTGAGAATTTATTCTGTTTTAGAAAATCACTCAATGGAAAGGTTTATCCATGCGATGAAATACAGCTCGCTTGAATATACAATCCAACCTGGATTAAAATACAGAGGCTTTTTGTCCCAAAGCCTGCCATTAATTGTGTTTGAGAAATTGATTTACTAAAGTTTTAAAATGTGGTATATCTGTGTCTCTATATGTGTATAAAGTGTGTGTGTGTGTGTGTGTGTGTATAGATAGATAGATAATTTAAATATATGACATTTTAATATATTAAAATATTGTTCCCATCTCAAAGGTATAGATAAATAGAGAATTTAAATATATTATACTACTTTGATATAATGGTTTAAATATTCTTCTTCCTATCCCAAAGCTTTAAAAAAACTCTATTAAGATTGAATAAAATTATCTATGTCTTGGTATGTGTATAAAATGTAGCTAGTTAGCTAGATAACTTAAATATATTATACTGGTTTATTATAATTTTTTTAAATATTCCTCTTCCCACACCAAAGGTTTTTTAAAAATCCTTTATTAAGATTGAATAAAAGTATTTATGTCTCGGTATGTGTATAAATTGTAGATGGATGGATGGATGGATGGATGGATGGATGGATGGATAGATATAATTTAAATATTTTATACTACTTTAATATAGTTGTTTAAATTTTCTTCTTCCCATCCCAAAGCTTTTAAAAATATTCCCTTATTAAGATTGAATAAAAGCTTTTGTTTTACTCTTTTAAAAGGCAGTCCGGCAGCATTAAAATCAATTTAATTTATTTCAGTTGGGCATTTTGTTTTAATTTGTTGTAGATTTGAATAAGTTCCCACACCTTTCAAGTTAATAGGCCTTAACCATAAAATTTTAATCAGGATTTTATTTAGAGTACATATTTTTTATTTCTGTTCTTTTTTTTTTTACTTCCAAGTAAATGTAGAAAACATTTCTGTCAGTTTATTCCGAAACGGCCTTTTCTCTAGAATAAATTCCCCTGATCTTGACCAGCTTTCTTTCTGAGTAGGCATATATAAAATTTAGGTTTAGATTTAATGTTATTTGAAAGTTCCTCTCTGTTTAGATTTGCGAAGGCTTGGATTTGGTTTAGAAGTCGAAATTACTCACAGGGAAGTGAATTACAGTATAAATAGTGCTTGGTAGTAGGTAGGAAGTAATTTTTTATTGAGTACTGACGTGGTTTAGCTTTCCTTCCTATATTTTGCTTCTTACTTTGTATTTATTTTTTTTCTTATTATTATTATTTCAGGTTTGACTGTGAAAAGGCTAAGATCCTAGGCTAAAATTCCCTGAGGCCAAATTTATAGACCTGATAATTGCGTGATGCTTGGGGATAAATTCACATTTTGTTCTTCAATGCAAGAGCTGAATTTTTCCCTATCTCTTCCCCTTTCCTCCCGGTTGTAACTTACAACCTTCCTTCAGACATTTCTTACTCTTTGCCCAATTTAGACAAAAAAGCATACATGGTTTTTCCCCCCTCCTTCTTTTCTAGAGGCAAAAATCCTCGCTGCTTTTCTGCCTCTTCACTTCTAGATGTAAAAATAAAAAGAAGCTATATTATTGTAGCTTTATTGTAATTTGGCATTTTGGAAAGCAGGAATAAAAACTGAGAAAGAAGACAGGGAAGGAAACTCCCCCCCCACCCCCACCCGCCCAAACCCTTTCGGTTAGAAAACTTATCTGGAACCTATCAAATATGAATTTGACGTGTGTTTTCTAGGCATACAATAATCCATCACCTGCTGTCTTGCTTATGGAGGACTAGGAAGTTGTTTTTCTCTTTCTTTTCCTCTTCGCTATCCATTTTCCTATTTCTCTTCCCTTCTTTCCTTCCTTCTCTTTCACGTTCATTCCCCTTCCTTCCTTCCATCCTTCCATCCTTCCTTCCTTCCTCCTTCCTTCTACATTATTTTCTGAATGCACTGTGTCTATAGATACATAGGCAGACAGACAGACAGACAGATATATATATATATATA